TGCCAGTTTAATAGAACAAAGTGTTCTTGCATTGAGGGAGTACTTGAGTAGAGGCCCAATGTCCATCTGCTACCTTAATACTAAACCTATAACTATATGCACATAGACCTATTTCCCCATCATCATATATAAATTTATGTATATATGTACATGCCTATATTTAGACCTCTATAAATGCCCTTTACCTCCTAGTTCTTTCCTCTATATCCTTTTACTTTCCTCTTGTCCCAGTATCATGCTCAGCCTTCATTTGGGTTTCAGTAATTCATCTCGGTTACATTGCCCTTGATCAAGCCCTACCAAGCCTCTTACACCCTTCTTGCCACCAATTTTAGATCACTTGTTGTTCCCTTGCCCCTGGGTTTATTAACACTGCTTCCTTCCCCCTCCTCCTCCTTTCCCATCCCCCCCACAACCATCAGTCCAATTGTTTTCTCCACTAGATTGTTGATCCCGCTTATCTTATCTGGATAGACCTGCAGAGATAATAATATGCACAAAAACAAGACAGAGCAAAACAAAGCAACAAAAGAAAACAAAACAACAATGACAAAGAGAAAAAGAAAAGCCTGTAAATAGTTCAAGGTCTGTGTGTTGACCTTCAGGAGTGTTTTCCAGTCAAGTCTGATGGGGTGCCATACTCTGGCCCCAAAGTCTATTTTTGGTATTCCCTGGGTACTTCCTTGCTGTGCTCCTCTTGCTGTTCTGTTGCACGCTCTTAGTGTTTTCCCTTGGTGTGGTGGTACAAGATTGGGCGCAATTCCCACACTGAGTCTCCAGTGTTGTCCCCTGTAGGGCTTATGGGTCAGTGAGGGATGTCATATCTCATAGTGGGGCCGGCCATATGGTCCTCTCTGTGCACTGGCTGCTCTGAGCAGGGATATCGTCCTCAAGGCTTGGTGGGCCAGGATGTGCTCCACTCTCTCCCCCTCCCCCTTCATTTGCTCCCGTGTGCTCTGATCAGACGTGTCCCTCTCCCTGAGCTGTAGCTTCAGTGCTGACCTCTGAAGTGAATTCTTCTGGGGGAAGGGGCGGCTGTCCATGTAGTTGGGATTGGGGCTTCAGCAAATGTTTCTTTAAATCACATCAAAATATGCTTCCTCTCCTTAACTGCTAACCTTTATGCAAGAAAATGTCCCAAGATCTGGTTTCGAGTTCTATAAGACTCAGATTCCAATAGCTCTTAGGACAGATGGACTGACACCTCTTCTCCCACCTCCCTCAGACACCTCCAACAGTAAGTATTACGGTCAGTTTACCACAATGAGCTGAGCAAATACTAAATTTTATATTGTGTTGTATTTCACATTATGGTGTGAAAAGGATTAGGAAACTACTCCAGACTTCAACTTATAAAGGCAAATCTATTTAGTTTTTCAGATAACAGCCCTTAAAACTGTTTATCCTAACCAAAAAATCCTACTCCTGTCAAGTCAATCTCAATTCATAGGAACCCTCTAGGACAGGGTAGGTAGTGTTTCCAAGTCTGTAAATCTTAATTTATCAAAGCTGACCACTACATTGTTCTCCAACACAGCAGCTGGTTCGAACTGCCAACCTTTTGGTTAGCAGCTGAGTGGTTTAACTACTGAGCCACTAAAGCGCCTCAAATGATACATAAAGCCACATATTTCCCTGCTCCAGGATAAATATTTTCATCCCATTCAAACAATTCTCATATGACTTGGTTTGTAAATCCCTTAGGAATGCAATAAACCTCCTTCAAAGGTACCCATTTGTCAATGTCTCTCAAAAACTATTGCACCCTAAATGAAAGTAATATTCAATAATTCAACAAAGAGTACGCAGAGGATATAACTTTTGTTATCCATGTATACTTGTATATGTAGCTACATTATAGCACTCACTGACATTACATCAGAATTTTACATATTCCGGCCCACTTTTACAAAAGGGTTCTTTCTTTACAAAAGAGTATATCATAGAATACCTTGAAAGTGAGACTTGTACATTTTTTAAATTGAAATTTTAAAATCATTTTTCTATTGGAAAGCATATGTACAATGCTCAGTTACTGACTGGCACATCATTCAATACACACACACTGAGTAAAGGATTAAGAATGGTTAAAAGGGAAACGCCTACCTTGAACAGTCTCCTTGCTCTGAGAGTTCCTTGGGTTTGGTAAAGGCACCTCTTTTGATTTGCTGTTCCACATCCTGCCAATTTACCTACAATCACATCATCCGCATAGATCTGATCAGTATTAGAATATGATTAGTAAAAAAATGCCCTGAAGTATCATGACTTTCCTGAAAGGCAAAAGAGGATTTTGTCATCTCTCAAGGTAGCTTTAAATTAATTTGTGTTCTTTATTTAACTGTTGAACATTTGTTGCAATTTTAAAAGACAGCCACAAATTCTGTTATCTCCTTCCTTCAAGATGTACAGCTATCCACATTCTTTGTCTCCTGGATGTAGACTAGACTTCGTGACTAACTTTTAACTAACTACATATGGCAGAAGGGGCAGTATGCGACTTCCCAGACTAGATAAAAAGCCAATGCTCTCTTTCTCCTAAGAATCACCAGTTTGGGGAAAGACCGGCTGCTAGATTGTAAGGACAGTCAAGCAGCCCTACGGAGAGCCATATGATAAGGAACTAAGACCAGCTTACTACAGTCGTGCAAGTGAACTAACCTGTAAGTGACCTTTCCCGCCCAAGTCAAGCATCACTGCAGCCTTCGTTTCCATATCCTAATGACTAGAACTCACGAGAGACCTTGAACCAGAACCACCTCACTAAGCTGTTCCCAAATTCTGGACTGACAAAAAGTGTAAAATAAATATTATTAAAAGTTGCTTAATAACTGGGGTCTTAAAGGCTTGAAGATAAATAAGCAGCCATCTAGCTGTAAAGCAACATACTCCACATGGAAGAAGCACAGCAGCCTGTGTGATCATGAGGTGTTGATAGGATCAGTTATCAGGCATGCATCGAAGACCCAGAACAAAAAAATCATATTATTGTCAATGAGGGGGAATGCATAGTAGAGGCCCAAAGCCCATCTGTAGACAATTGGACATCCCCTCACAGAAGGGTCACAAGGAAGAGATGAGCCAGTCAGGGTGCAGTATAGCACCATTGAAACATGCAACTTTCCTCTAATGCTTCTTGCACCGTCCCCACCCCACTATCATGACCCCCAATTCTATCTTACAAATCCGGCTAGACCATAGCTTGTACATGGGTACAGATAAGAGCTGGAAACACAGGGAATCCAGGACAGATAAACCCCTCAGGGCCAATATTGAGAGCAGCGATACCAGGAGGATAAGGGGAAGGTGCGGGGAGAAAGGGAGAACCGATCACAATAATCTACAAGTAACCCCCTCCCAGGGGGACAGACAACAGAAGAGTGGGTGAAAGGAGGCATCGGTCAGTTCAAGACATAAAAAATAATAATTTATAAATTATCAAGGGTTCATGAAGGAGGGAGTGGGAAAAAATGAGCTGATACCAAGGGCTGAAGTAGAAAATGTTTTGAAAATTATGATGGCAACAAATGTACAAATGTGCTTGACACAATGGATGGATAGATTGTAATAAGAGTTGTACGAGCCCCCAATAAAATGATTTTTTAAAGGCTATTTAAATTCGAGGGAAGGGGAGTAATTACACAACAATAGATAACAAATATATTATCATGTCACATTTTTCTCTATGAAAAATAACACTGCAATGAACATGTTGTGGTCATGAATTTTTGCTCATTTTAAGTATAGTACTTATCTAGAACAAGGCCCTCCCAAAAACACATTAAAACTGGACTAAAGAATGTGAAGAATGTGTTGCTTTGAGACCTAATATTGAACTAGGAAACTCTAATGAATAATAAGCGAATACTGATTTCATTATTACCTTTATTAATATTTACCATTATCTTTTTTACTTTTGCTGATTTAATAGGAAGAAATGGTTGCTTTAATGTGAGTTTGGTAGATTGTTGCCAATGTTAAACATTGTACTATAGATATTTATCTTCGTTTTTTTTCCATTTGTTTGATTTCTTTTTTTTTAAATTGGTTTATTAGGGGCTCATACGACTCTTATCACAATCCATACATACATCCACTGTGTAAAGCACATTTGTACATTCATTGCCCTCATCATTCTCAAAACATTTCCTCTCCACTAAAGCCCCCGGCATCAGGTCCTCATTTTTTCCCCTCTCTCCCCATTCTCCCCTCCCTCATGAGCCCTTTATAATTTATAAATTATTATTTTGTCATACCTTGCCCTGTCCGACATCTCCCTTCACCCACTTTTCTGTTGTCCGTCCCCCAGGGAGGAGGTCACATATAGATCCTTGTAATCGGTTCCCTCTTTCCAACTTATAGTTCCAAACCATAGTTGTTCATTTCTGAATTCTTTCCTTACCTGTGTCCTAGTTACCCATTACCTATTGTATTACCTACGTATTACCTACGTTTTCCTCATCAATATAAGTTCTTTACATGATAAATATATTAAGCCCTGGTCAGTATAAGATATGAAAACAATCATAATTTAGAATTTATCAAAGGATCATGAGGGTGGGAGGCAGAGGAGGGAGGGAAAACAGTGGAGCTGATACCAAGGGCTCAAATAGAGAGTAAATGTTTATAAAATGATGATGGCAATGTCTGTACAAATATGCTTGATACAAGTGATCTATGGAATGTTATAAGAGCTATGAAAGCCCCCAGTAAAATGATTTAAATATATATATATTAAGCCTTTGTATTATTTGATAAAAGTATTTTCCTCTAATCTCTGCAAAGGCAATATTATAATAACTTTAAGAAAAGTAAAAGCCTACTTACTAAGTCTAAATACACAAAACTAAAAAGCATAATTCACGTAAGGGAATTCATTTCATCTAAAGAATCCTAATTTAGAAATTCTCTAGAGAACTTTTAAAATGTTCTGAAAATAAGTATTCAGATTATGAAATATGGCTTCAGGTTTATTTAGATTTTGAAAACAATCAGACAGAGATGGTAGATAAACTAAAATCAACATGATAGTATTCCAAAACTTTTGAACCACAAAAACTTTGATCACCAAAAAAAAAAAAAAAACAACTTTGATCACAGCTGCTGCCAACACAGCTCAAAAACTTAATTTTTTTTACTTTCCCTCTAATATATTGTTGGTCTATTCAACTGTCCAAATGACAAACAAATAAACAAGCAGGCATTATTGTTATTGTTTTTATTGCTAAGTCCCATTGAATCAGTTCTGGCTCATAGTGACCTTAGCTATGTACAATATGAAACACAATCATTGCTACCTTTATTTTATACAGGAAAATAAAATTATATATAATACTAATATTCCCTGTAAAAGTAGAAAAAGGAATTACTATTAAAAATTTGCAATGGAAAATAATCTCTTCATAGAAAGAAAAGAATCTAAGCTGTCAAAACTTTTATTATCTTTAATATATAAACCTCAATTTGCAAAATGTCTTCTTTACCTATACTTTAAAGTGTTGCGGTAATTACATATCATATCAACTTGAAGATATATAAAAGTGTAGGGGTGGAGTTTAGCCTGTCAATCAGGTCACAGTCTAATGGTGATTCCCTGTGGGTGTGACTTCTCCTAAGGAAGGTCCTGGGAACCTCCCTCTACCTCTCTGCCTTCACCTTCCTGCTGTCAAGTCACTCACAGAGTTGCCAGAGTGCCACCACCATTGGATCCACATGATTTTGCACCCACAAGCTTGTGATGTTCGTGAAATCTGCAACACTGCATGTGGCTGTGTGAGTCTGAAGATGGACTGAAAGGACTAGTTTAGGGTTTATGAACTGAGTTAGATTGGACTGGGATTTTAATCTCAAAATATAATTGATTCTATATATAAAGCTCTTTCATACACATATATGAGCATCACTGTATATGTTTCTCTAGTCAACCGAGCCTAAAACAAATGCTTACCAGGTTAAATATATTAAACTCATTCAAGGCTTAAAACATTTTCTTTTAGCCATCTAGCAGGAAAGCAACAAGCCCACATGGAAGAAGCACACCAGCCTGTGTGATCATGAGGTATCGACGGAATCAGGTCTCAAAAGATCCAAAACAAACAACTATATCAATGCAAACGAAGGGGGTTGGAGTGGAGACCCAAAGTCCATCTGTACACAATTGGATATCCCCCCCACAGAAAGGTTATAAGGAAGGGATGATTCAACCAAGGTGTATCAACTCACGAATCACAAATCATTTCTCTAGTTCCTGAATGTTTCCTCCCCGCCACTACCATGACCAAGTTCTACTTGACAAATTTGGCTAGATCGGAGAACACACATACAGATAAGAGCTCTTGACACGTGGAGTTCAGGACAGATAAGCCCCTCAGGAACAGTGGTGGGAGTAATGATATCATGAGGGTAGGAGGATAGTCGGGGAGGGGAAAAGGGGAGAAAGGGGGAACCCATCACAAGGTTGGATATATAGCCACCACCACCCCGCCCCACCCAGAAGGGGACAAATAACAGAAATGTGGGTGAAGGGAAACAAGGGACAGTGTAAGATACAAAATAATAATAACAATAGATGATTGATCAAGGATTCACAAGGGTGGGAGGGTAGGGGGAAAGGGGAAAAAAGAGGAGCTTATACCAAGGGCTATAGTAGAAAATGTTTTGAAAATGATGATGGCAACATATGTACAATTATGTATGGAATGCTATACAAGCCATTTAAGAGCCCCCAGTAAAATGATTTTTTTAAAAACAACAAAAAACTGTTGACTCCAATTCAGAACTGCCATTAGTTTCCTGGGATATAATCTTTTCAGAAGACTGCCACATCTTTCTCCCATGAAGGGGCTGGTGGGTGTAATGTGCCCATCTTTCAATTAGGCACTTAGCATTTAACCACCATGACACCAAGGCTACTTGTGAGAACATTAGTTTTATATTTGGAGTTTTGAACTTTCATCTTGAAATTCTTAGTACTGTAAGGATTAGTAAAACACCTCTGCTGCTTCTTTTACCTCTTTTTTTTTTTTTTGATAGATATCTCTGTTGTTGCTGTTAGGTGCCATCAAGTCTGTCCCAACAGAGTGACCCTCCGCACACCAGAAGGAAACCCTGCCCCAGTCCTGGGCCAGCCTCACAATGGTTCCTCGGCCTGAGCCCATGGTTGTAGCCACGGTGTACATC